AAACTTGTCTGTTTGTATAAGTCACTGGCCGCTCTCCCAGCGACTGTCAGGTAAATCATCATCTGCCCACCGAGCAAAATCAATGACCTTTCACTTATGAACAGTTTGACCCCGCCAAGCCGACTGCTGGTGGGAGGGAGTTCACGAGAGAGCAAGGCCACCCCGGGCTGCCACTATAGGCTCTTTATCATACACTCGGCTAACACCCCCACATGATGCACTGCATCACCAGTGGCACTCTTTTCTTCCAGCGAGGACGTATTGCTGCTCTCCTCGTTCAACGAGCCTTTGTTTCATCACTGTTCATCACAAACCGGCGTTCAATTCCCCGCCCCGGTGTTTTCACCTATATTTGATTATTTGGCTAAATTTGGTTTCATTTTCAACACAAAAATAAACTCTCTTGCCCCCTCTCTGGACTGATGCTGAGACCCATAAATTTAACAGTGTTTTCGGGGGGAAAGTGAGTGACAGCAGAAACTGCATGTATTCCCATGTCACACGGTTGAGGCTGGTTAGACAGAAACAAGTTAGAATACCTCCTGGATGTGATACTCCATTATCCAGCGGGAAATAATAATAATAATAATAATTATTATTATTATTCCCTTATTCGACCCACAATAATAATTATTATTTTTATTATTATTCCCTTATTCGACCCATAATAGGAAAATTTACTGTGTTCTATAACTAACACAGGCTGCCACAGGGGGCGCCATAAGGGATATGTAGTTCCTTTGGATTCCTTTGGGCATGTAACCCAGAACTCTCTGCTTTCAAGGCAGGCGTGCTTTTTGCCCTTCATTATGGCTCCCAGGCGTCGAATCAGACTCTCCTAGATTATGATGTCATCACTGTGTTGGTGTAGGTGAGTCACAGGTACTGACTGTACAGCAGGAGGGCTCCCAAATATGATTATGATGTCATCACTGTGTTGGTGTAGCTGACTGTACAGCAGGAGGGCTCGTAAAATCGAGTCACGTCGCACCGTAGGAAAGGAACGCCGACGTAAGTCGAGGACGCCCTGAACATCAAGGTAGTTCTACTCAAAATGCTACCACCCTGGGTAACAGTCATGTGATGTGTATAAGTGCAGCCAACATCCCTTCACCAAAAACAACAGCTTCCTGTGGACATTTATCCAGTCTGAAAAAAAAAACCCCAAACAACCAAAAACGACATTTTCTCACTTTACAGACTTCGCATTCCAAACAAACCTCCTCTCGTTTGTGCAGTGTTCACGGTGGTTGCACCAAATAAATACAGCAGCTCATGAATCATACCACATGAAACAATGCTGCCTGAACTGGATGAGTGACAGGCTGCAATCTGTAAGCAGGAGCCATAGGCTGGGAGGCTTTGTCTAATTCACTGAGCATACAACCCTCGTCAGGAGACACTGAACTAATGGACTTCTGGACACGCACTCTTCCACAGTAAAGCTGTCAACATGTCGACATGTCGCTGCACGATGTCGGCACTTACTGTTATGTTGTCATTTTTTTTTTCTATGAACACATTTGCAGGGAGTGGCTGCTGGTACTTTTTTTTTTGGGGGGGGGAGGTATTTCTTTTGTGTGATACAGATTTTTGTGACTAACCGGACACAACCGGACTAATCTCCGTCTCCTCTGGTCGCAGCGGTCACTCTGAACTCGTGGTATTTCGCTGCCTTTAATGATTGGTCGATCGCTCTGCCACCGATGGCCTTTCTGCCACCTATTCATGACCCGTCAACCCCAATCCTCACACCAATCCAACAGGAGCAAAACACACAGCACTGAACAAATGTCCCGGTGTCAGAATCAATCCACACCGCCATCCCATCCTCCTCTCATAAAACTGGCATCTCATTTGTCCAGGGAAAAAAAAGTGTGGTCACACTATGGTATAGAGAATGACGGGGTGTTTACGCTGTAGTAACACAGGGCCTGAAGGACTTGGAATTTTTTTTTTTTCACTTTCAAATTCTTTTTTTTTTTTTTTGCCAAAAGCAACAGAGACGATGGACGTTTTGAAAATATGAATTCCATTTCCTCTCTGTTGACAGAACAACACTTCTGGAACATTCCACAGTTTTGAGTGTCCTCTCTCTTCTGCTTCTTTGTTGATGTGTTTCTTTCCATCTCCAACACACACACACACACGTGTGGACATGTGTAATGAGACGACCGCGTGGGAACAGGAAGTATTCTGACTCACAGTATTGAGAGTATTGAAAAGACCTCTCGCTGATATGCTTGAGGTGCAGCGGCGCATGGGAGGAAATAACAGACAGCAAGGACGCGCACGTGTACGTCGCCACTTCTGCCTTTTGAAGTTCTGACAGCATTTCTGCTTCCTCTCCTCCGCTGAACCCGGAGATCGTAATTATTTACCATAAACCCGTCTGTCTGCCTGGTGAGAACAAAAGTTTGGCCGTAATGTTTCGGTCTTATTCCATTCAGTGCAATTTCACAGCCAGCACAATCGCCGGGATCAAAATGAGAGGGAGCAGCGTGGCATGAATATCAGCCGTAACAGCTGAAGAGGAAACGTGACAAAAACATCCATTGTCTCCGCGTCTGATCTCCACTAAAGAAACGTACTCGGTATCAAGGCCAAACTCTAATGGAAAAACAGCCTCGCGCTAAATAACTGCTCTTTAGTGTAGACAGAACGGCCACTATATTAATGAACGTAACAGCACGGAGAAATAAAGACCCAAAGTTGAACCCTGACTTTGTTATCTTTTTTTTTTTCTTTCGCTCCACTTTGCAGCAACCCTATTTAACACATTAGCAATCACATCCAGCACTAATGGCAGCAGCACATTTGGGTTCAAATCAATGCACAGTTCAATGGAGGACACTAATGCAGCCGGAGCAGGAAGGACGAGCCGGGACTCACCGATCATGTGAATGGTGGTCCGTCCAGGCCGGGTCCCATGAGTCTGCTGGATGGTCTCGTAGAACGTGGCCTGACACAGCTGAATGGCAGTCACGCTGACCCAGAGGCTCAGGCAGAGCAGCCAGGACATGACAGGACACATCTGTTCAGAAGCAGCAGAGGTGACGTCAGCATCAGATTACTGTCATTTCTGGACTAAAAGTCACATGTTTTTGTTTGGTTTTTTTTTGTTCCTGAAATTTATACTTCAACTCTAAAGCGACTTATATATTGAAAATATATGCCATATCATCTGTGGCCACAAGAGGGCACTGTCCAACTCTAATGACAACCGAATGGTGCCTCTGGAGTGGGTGAAATTATTAAGAAGCCAAAACGAGGATGAAGAACGGAATCGATTTTTTTTTCTTTGCAGATGATACAGTGTTACTGTAGTTCATTTTTGTTTTTAAACAATGGCGTCTTTCTCTCTCTTCTGATCCGACGACTACTCCGTTGTAATAGATATGTACAACACTGTACCAGCATCACGCCTGAGGCCTAGTGGTGAGGGGTTCAGTCCTTATACTGAAATAATTGCAGGTTCAAATCCAGCTTTGTGGCGTGTTGGGCAAGCAT